GGAAGGGAAGGGAAGGGAAGGGAAGGGAAGGGAAGGGAAGGGAAGGGGAGAGGGGGAAAGGGAAGGGGAAGAGGGGAAGGGGAGGAAGGTAAAGGGGGGGAGTAGGGAAAGGGAAGGAAAAGATGTACAATACATAGGATTTTGCTTTTCTTACCTGTGTCAGTAAGAGTGGCTCAGCATATTCTATTACCCTGCCATCTGCTACATAATGAGACACAGTCTGTGGTCCAAACCTGTTTGTTTCAGAAATGGAGAAATAAATGCTACCTTGTATTCTTTAAGAAAATTTAGATATACAGAGGCCACACTGGGACCCATTTGCTTTAACTATAGAGCTGATTGGCAAGTGCCATCTCATAGTGGCAGGTGCAAATGGATCATTTTGTCTACCCACCATCACATGCAAGTACTGCCACAGCTATTATCATGGTTGTGCCAAATCTAACTTCCATGAGAGTGAAGTCTCACATAATCAGTACCATTCTGTATCTACTAGTAAAGCTAATCAAAACCAAAAAATCAGTAAAGGAAAAGCTGTTCAATATTGGAAGCATTAATGGGACTAATTTCATGTTTCAGTTTCTATAAATTCACTTTAACTTTATTTGCTTCCTGTTAATTGAGATTATACTTATCTATAATATTTGCAAAAAAACTTTGAAGAATTTTTTTTCAACTTAATCAAATCTATCACTTATGTTCTTTTTTATTTTTGTGTTTTGTGGAAACACAACATTTTTTATAAATACCAAATGCTCCATATGCATTGTTGCTTCAAGTAGGCGCTGTGCACCACTCAGCTGTTCAGTCTGTAATGCAGGCTCATTACCATACTCATTATTGTGAATTACAGAATTTGCCTGGCTGGCCTTCATTAACTATCTGTCACTTAAACACTGATTTGTGTTTATATATAAAGTTAATCTTATAAAAGCACCTGAACTTGCACAGGAAACTTGGATTTAATCTGTTTCTCAGTATTTCTGCAAGACTTTGGTGATTGTTATGAAACTATGCTTTGCTTTATTATTTTATTAATATAAATACATGACATCACATAATTGTACGCGTGCAATAACAGAGATAATTTTTTCCCCTCCTTCTACTGCCTATTATGTAAAATAATGGCTTTCTATGTCATAGCAAGTGGCTGATTTAATGAGAGCTTGAACAGGATCAGCATTTTACATCATGCTTTACACAAAGCAGTAGTTTCGGCCCAGAACTTTAAAGCTTCATTTCATTGCTTCAGGAAAGGTTGCCAGTTTCTTCTATAAATTGTTTCTGAAACATTCAGGAAAATATATTTCAAAACCTGCAATATTTCAGCAATTTCACTGTAGTGCTCATAAAGCACTAGAGTCTAGTCTGAAAGAATCTGAAGGTGTAATGTGGTTTGAAAATAGATCATTTTCCCTTTTGATTTTTGAGAAATCAGTTTTCTTTGTAGGTTTTGATCATTCATAATCTCCGATGGGAACAGAATCACTTGTAATTACTGCATTGTCATTATCAAATATCTGACATCACCAAATTTTCCAAACAGCCATTTAAAACTATTTCAATGATATCTTACAAAGATTGTATTATATTAACAGCTTGAAAACCAGTAATGTCAGAATCAGTGACTCAAACTCTTGGGGAATACATTAAGCTCAGATTACAATGTTTGTACCTTCAAAATGTCTTCATCTTTTTCAGCTGTGTATTTCCTCAAATTAGTTGGACCTAGAGACCAGAGTTTTTTCACATTATTTTCAGAGTATTGTTTTGAAATAAGTCATGGTGGTCCCTTCTGTTTTCATATTAATTTCTGTTCACCATCACAAGGGACATAAGCACACATTTTATGTCTTTCTTAAGAGCTTGCCATATATAGCTTCCTGTGGCTAGAACAGAAGGCTGATCAAGTTGTGCCTTCATGCACAAGAAAAGCAGAGAGAACATGCACTGTCCTGTGAATCAGGTGTCTGGAGACCTTGGATAGAAGCATGTCCTCAGGTCATTCCTCTGAAAGAAGTTTGTCCTATGCTCCTTCTTTTGCCACGGATAAATGTGTAGGTTAAACTCTGCCAGTGGTGGTCCTATAGAAGGCCCATAGCAAAACCCTCTCTCAGCACACACATCTACTCATAAACAGCATAAACATGCAGTGACATGCCTCCATAGATGAAAGCCCTACTAAGAGATCTCAAGAAGGATCTTCAGGCTCCTTCAGGAGCTAGTTCTAGCAGGAGATGGCACCTCTGAAGGACAGAATTTCATTTGCACTAATGACACAGGGTTGCCTGTAGAGCAGCTGATGATGATACCCTGACTGGGGCCTCATCTGTTTGTCCCACATTGTTCCATGAACAGTGCAGTATGTTCATGCATAACACTGGATTCTGCACTCATTCCTGGGGACAGCCAATGGGCTGAGCTTTTACTGGTTGGTGTTACCAGCAGTAAAGGAACTTCTGCTCCACTCCTGCACACCTTTTCTCCCCTCCACTTCCTTTCCTTTTCCCCTTTCATTTCAGTTTCTTACATAT